TTCAGGTGCACCGCGGGGCTCTCAAGTGCTCGCTGGTTTATTCCATTTCGTTCCCCCCATTGAGGCTGAACCCCACAAGTGTTATGCTCCTCATTCCTGCTCGGCTCAATCCTCCCCTAAGCGTTCCTTTGTGAGCAGAATGGCTCACTTTGCCCTGGGACCAAACTCTCTCTCTCTCCCGTTCCTTTTTTTTTATCCCTCACCCCTTTTTCTTCATTGTGTGTTTACTCAATGACACGATCACAGGCTGTAATTCCCGCCGTTTAGTTCATCTCGACGAGCTCCTTCTTTCAGAGCCAGTTTTTATAAAGAAGGGCCCTGTTTGGACACTGTTGTGCACAAGCGCCGGTTTCAATAGCAGAAATGCATTCTCTGCAATTATACTTTTTGATCGGCTGATTCGTTTTGCACCCGCCCAAAAAAGTCGCTCGACACGCCGTTCCGTTTAGTGGCGTATTGCTTCGTTCGCAAACACAAAACTGCATTAGAGACACTTAAAAGTGTAGCAGAGCTTGCACAGAAACAGTAAGGGCTTGTTCCACTTAAGGATCCGGTGAGGCGTGCAAATCCAGAGCAGGGTTCTCTTTGTATCCACAACACAATCGTGAGCAGTTTGAAGCCCTTTTTGCTTGCTGAGCCTGAAACTTTATTTTCAATCCCACCATTCAGAAGCACCTATTTCTGGAGAGAAAGAGCGAGAGAAAGAGAGAGAGCGCACTAACGCAGCAGTGCATCGGAGGACCATGTTTAGGGTCGTGTATTTGCTACACAACATTTTTTCCATGAGGCCGTGGGGTCCTACGGTGGAGAGATAGTGAACGCCGGGAGGCGTGGGGTCACCGGTGTGAGTTACCATGGTAATTGAGTTCAGTCATCAATGGACCTCCTCTCAGGAGGGATGAGGCGAACAATAACGGGCCGGTGGCGACTGTGAACAGCAAGCAGGTAGGATTACCCCAGGCTTTTGTCCTAAGTGCATAATGTCTTGTAGTCCGATTTAAAGACTCCTCAGTCCCCAGGGCCTCCCTCTCTGGCCCGGCAAGGTGCCCGATTCTCTTGCCTGGCCGGCGAGAAGGACGAGTGCCCTACGACCTGCTGGCCTGAGAGAGAGAGAGAGAGAGAGAGAGACGGCTCTATTAAGCGCAGACAAAGATGCAAAGAGTACTGGGAGAAAGGTTGGAGGTTCGATTTTTGTGTGTTTTTTGTTTGGGGTATTCTCTCGCTTTTTGATTTGCAAGAAACGGAGAGGACAGGGAGCACGGGGGAGGCACCGCGGAGTCGCTCTCGTTCTGTTTTCATCTCCACCAGCCTGCCGCTTTGCATTAACATCAGCGCTAGCAACCATCATCATTCCATCCCTACTGCTAATTGCAGACACAGCTGGGTCCCAGCAGGAGCGCTTCTGAAACAGCCTAGGCCTCCGAGACCAGGCTGAGTGGCGCACACACATATTTGCAGAGCCACTACCACCAGCAAGGGCAGAAAGAGGCAGAGTCACAGGTTGCTTGTAATCCCCCATTACCCCCCACCGTGCCCTCGCCCCCTCCTCGGCATTCCTGCTTTTGTAAGAGTGTGTTTTTTCTAATCCAAACTCAGCCCTTACCAGCTCTTTCTTCCTCCTGGCCCTCACGTAGGAGCCGCTAGCCTTCAGGTGCTTCAGGATTCGATAAAAGCGAGTCACGAGTGTGTGTGTGTGTCTGCGACGGGGGTGGATGGGTGTGCAACCTTACACTGAATTCTGTTTGTTGCCCCCCTGCTAGGCGCTATGGCTTCCTGTAACATGTCAAAGACGAGAGTGTGAACGCAAGCTTAGGAGCGCGGCTTGTGCATGTGCGTGGTGTGGCAGGGGCAGGAGGTCGCTCAGCCTTTCAGCGCTCCCTGCTAGAGGTGTGGGGGCCCTGCAGATGTTCATGTGTGTTGTATCGGTACCCATAACGTACGCGTCCAACACACACGTGCGTGTACACGCAGCCCTCACGCTTTCCAATATCAGATGGAACTCGTTAGATGATCACAGATTTTTTTTTTTTCCTTTCTCTCCCATATCCGCTTCTTTCATTATGCATTCAGAGTCATGATACTCCTGTTTTGGCTCGCAGCTATTGCCAGCTTCCCGCTGCTCAATATCCAAAAAGTGCCACAGTACATAATACACTCTCAGAGAGTCTTCTGTTTCTCTGCTGACAGCAGAACAATGTCCCACTGCCAGCACTGTTCATTTCACAACCAAGACCATAGTCAGAGGACACGGACTGGTTGAGACTCTCACGATTTCAAAATGTCGTTTTTCTTTAAATGCGCAACTATTTCGGCCTTGTGTGTCATTTGATTTGTCGTCTGATTTGGTGCTCACAGCGGGGGCTATAAAGTGGAACGCAACCAAATTATTTTTTTAAGCATTTTCATTTATTACATGTTGATTGTGATATTAAGTCAACTTATAGTTTGCTGGAAATGTGTTGGGTTCTTTCAGCAGTTACATGTTATTCCAAACCTGTATGACTACATTTCTTCTTTGGAACACAAAAGAAGATATTTTGAAAAATGTTTTGTCCATGTAATAAAAGTCAACATGGTCCAGTGTTGTTTTGGACCCCATTGACTTTAATTGTAAAGACAAAACCAGTTTTCATTCTTCAAAACATTCTTAAGAATATTCCAAACAGACTTCTCCTGTGCTCCAGAGAAGAAATAAAGTCATACAGCTATAGAATGTTGAGTAAATGATGACAGAATTAATTTGTGGGTGAAATATTCCTTTAAAATTGTGAAGGCCAGAGAGGTCACACTATTATAGGAACAAATGTAGGAGATACAGAGTGAGTATGAGAGAAAGACTGAGTGTGAGAGAGAGCAGTTGCTCCAGGTCTGGCCTCCCTGTGGGGGTCCATCGCGGCCCGGCTGCCCGATCTTTCACAGGCACAGAGCACCAGCCCTCACAGAGCAACACCAAGCTCTGATTCACTGCAGGGACGAGCCACTAACCTCAGCCGCTTAGTTTGAATCCTTAAACGCCCATCTGATTATTTACTATGTACACACCTTAGCAGCATCAATTTTAACAGCATACCACTTAAACACCAATGATTTGCGTTCAAGTAGCTTTCAACGTATAACTGGTGGAACCAATGGAACCAATGACTTAGCAAATTGTGTAATGTTTACTACTTGAGGCGTTTGACAAGTCGAGAGTGCACTTTTTTAGACTATCACCAGCAGAAGCCTAATGCTTTTTCCAAACTGAGGGTGCCAAGTTGATTTTGAGTGTAAATTCCTCAAAAATGTCCCCAAAAAGTATTTGTGTTTTTGATAATTAAGCTGCAAGAGCATTCTATAGCAGAAATCATGTCTAAATTTGGTTCATCCAGTGGAGTCGCATGATTTTCTTAAAACAAACGATTATTTATCCACCTTAATACTGTCAAGTGTGCTGCAGTTACCCACGACCCATCTCCCGTGTCTCCGGCTCGATTTGCTCAGCTTCTAAGCCGTTGAGACTCAGTCAGTTCAGATTACCATCAGACCAGCTCGATCATAACTAATCAATTAGACTTCAAATGAGATCCTCCCCACGGTCCAACATCTGCAGCCCAAAAGATAAGTGCACTGGCTATTTAGAAGGTGCTTTGAGTTCAGTGAGTAGAAATGGAGCGCAAAACGCAGAGGCTATGAGAAAGGAAGAGTCGTAAAAGTAAGACCCTGAGCCACGGTTACATTAGCGAGCTTATTGCGACTGCGGTAAAGACAACATGTCTGCTGGGAATGATGGATGTTTCTCCCTCAATGTGACAGAAAGTGCCACAGTTTGAAGCGCAGGCTAAGGGCAGGATTGTGGCTGCTTTAACATGGGCAACATCTCTCATGATCAGTGTCCAAAAGCAGAACAGGAGACAGCTGATGGGATCCCAAACTGTCAATTAAGAGTTCCTGGGTGGAGCTGTGGAGACAGGGAGATGGGGTGAGGATCATGACTGTGACAGAAGGACTTCCTCCAAGGCAGAGCTTGTTGGGTTCTCTTTTTTGTCACCATTTTCCTCTCAGTGCCTCTGAACACTCTATTCTACTGGTCATTTTCCTCCATATCCATCTACAAGTGGAAGTAGTACTTGACGCTATATTTAGCTGAAGAAAACTATATCCTATTTATATGCTACTGATCAAAAGTGTGGATTAATGATTTTTTAAAATGTTTTTGAAAGAGGTTTCTTATGCTCCCCAAGGCTGCATTTATTTGATCAAAAAATACAGTAAAAACTCCAATATTATAAAATATTATTACAAATTTAAATATCTGTTTTCCACTTGAATTTATTTTAAAATGTAATTTATTCCTGTGATGGCAAAACCTGAATTTTCAGCATCAATTATTCCAGTTTTCAGTGTCAAGAGATCATTTTAATACGCTGATTTGGTGCTCAGTAAACATTTTGAATGGTAGTATATCATACATATATATATACATAGAAGAAAAAAATGTTTAATATATGTTTTTTAAGCACCAAATTATCATATTAGAAGGATTTCTGAAGGATCGTGTGACACTGAAGATTGGAGTAATGATGCTGTAAATTCAGCTTTGCCATCACAGGAATAAATTACATTTTAAAATATATTCAAGTGGAAAATAGTACAATATTACTGTATTTTTTATCAAATAAATGTAGCCTTGGTAAGCGTAAAAGATTTCTTTCAAAAACAAAAAAATTATGAAATAATTAAAAACATTTGACCCATTGTGTATATATAAAGCATTCTGCTTTATAGGTTGTCAGTCTGATTGTTGGAAAAAATTGTACTAGATCAGGTTGGTGAGTATTTTTAGATCTTGTACTTAAAGGATTTTCATTCACATAATCTTTCTCTGTTGATACAAATCTACTGCCTACACTTTGGCTTTGTGTTGTGTTGTGTTTTTGTAAATGTGTATTCATTATGTTTGTGTGTGGCAGCATTTATATGTGTGTCTGTCTTTGCTGGAGAACAATGTATTTGTATTTCAGCAATGGTACACCAGCACAATGAATCTCCTGGGCACCTGGCTGATAGACCGTATGGACCTGCAGTTGCATCTATATCAGCTGAAAATCCTCATCAGAATTGTAAAGGTAAAAACATCATTGCATCATTGACCACTAAAGTAGGTATAGGTGGGCATGTGAATTAAATGCAGAACAGTTTTAGATTCAAAACTGCCCAAACATGTGCAGGAAGTAATCATAGCAGAATATTTGCACCAAATGTACTTGTAAAAGCATGTTATAAAAATATGCACATATCGACCAATCAGAGCCAGACTACAGAGGTGGATCAGCCAAGTGAAGGCAGTCTTCCTCTTCAGCCTCCGCTTGTGCTTGATTTTTCAGCAAAATCAACAGGATTTTGTAGTATGGCATTTTACACATTTATTTATGTGCATTCATATGGTGTGTGTGTGTGTGTGTACGTGCATGTGTCTCACAGACCTAAGTGAAGGGACGAACTAGATCTGGCATTTATTTAGTATCCAGCTCAGATTAGATTTAGTACTGGATGAAGACCTCATTGTTGTGGTTTTCCTCATCTATAGTACACAACAGCACCAGAATAGAAATAGGGTATGAAATAGGATCTTAAAAGGGTCTTTTTAACCATGTTACCAAAATCATTTATACAAAATAAAATAATAAATACAAAATTAAATGAAAACTATGGGTTGCAAATACATCCTAAATTAAAGTATCGCTTAGTTGGGGTTAGCTAGTTTGGGATTAATGTTGGTTGGTTGTTCTATTTTAAATAAATGCTGTTCTTTCAAACTTTATTTTCATCAAAGAATCCTCACATGTTCACAAGAAAATTAAGCAGCACAACTGCTTACAACATTGATAATAAGAAATGTTTCTTGAGCACCAAGTCAGCATATTAGAATGATTTCTGAAGGATCATGTGACACTGAATACTGGAGTAATGCTGAAAATTCCATCACAGGAAAATGCATCACAGGAATAAATCACATTTTAAAATATATACAAAACAATACATATCATTTCAAAGCAGCTTTACAGAAAAAAATGCATGTTCAATTTAGAATAATCTGTTATCAGAGGTAACTATGTCAAGTAATGTCCATATATCATAAATGTACAGTTCTAAGACAATACAAATCATGCAGTTAGCTAATATCATGTATTCATTTAGGCAAAAACAATGATCACATTAAAGCAATTATTATAAACTATGATCATAATGGTTACAATACATAGATTCAGAGCTGGCATCTTCTGAAGTCCTCTCAGGGGTTGGTGTCATCTCTTCACAGGTGTTAGGTCATCTGAAATCTTCGTAAGAGGCTGGATCCAAACTACAGCTGGCGTACTCTCTAGATGTAGGGCCTTACATGTCAGTAGCAGTACTTTGTAATCAAATTTCATAGGTAACCAGTGGAGAGATGATAAAATTGTGTTATTTGTGTTATTTGATCATATTTTCTTGACCTGGTAAGAACTCTAGCTGCTGCATTTTGGACTGACTGTAGTTTGTTTATTGAGGATACAGGACAACCACCTAGTGCGTTACTGTAATCTAGTCTAGAGGTCAAAAATGCATGAACTAGCTTTTCTGCATCAGAAATACATAACATGTTCCGTTGCTTAGCAATGTTTCTGAGGCTGTTTTTGTAACATATGAAATATGATTATTGAAAGACAAGTTGCGGTCTAATATAACACCCAGTTCTTTAACTGTAGAGGATGAAGTAACTGCAGGCTACATCCTTCAAGATGCTAATTGTATTCTAAGAGATTCTGTGTACAGGTTGTTGGTCCAATAAGTAATACCTCAGTCTTATCTGTATTTAATAGAAGAAAATTACTGATCATCCAATTTTTTTAATTTTAACACACTCTGTCGACTTGGATAATTTTATCTGGTCGTGATAAAATAAATAACAGTATCATCGGCATAACAGTGGAAACTAATTCCATGTTTTCTAATAATATTGCCAAAAGGCAGCACGTTCAAAATAGCAGAGGTCCTAAAACAGACCCTTGCTGCACTCCACAATTTACTGACGTTAACTTGGATAATTCCCTGTTTAAATAAACAAAATGGTAACGGTCAGATATGTACAATCCAAACCACCCCAATGCCTGTGTAATTTTGTAATCTATCTAAGAGTATTTTATGATCTATAATGTCGAACGCAACATTAAGATCAAGTAAAACTAGTATTGCGATTTAACCTTGGTCAGAAGCTAGAAGTAAGTCATTTGTAATTTTAAACGAGCGCAGTTCCTGAGTTATGATGGGGCCTGAATCCTGACTGAAATTTTTCATAGATATTATTATTGTTTTTGCAGGAAGGAGCACAATTGAGCGGACACAACTTTTTCTAGCATTTTAGACATAAATGGAAGGTTTGAAATGGGTCTGTAATTTCCCAATTTGTTTGGATTTAGTTGTGATTTCTTAATGAGAGGCTTAATAACTGCCAGCTTGAATGGTCCTGAGACATGACCTAGAAATAGAGACGAGTTAATAATATTGAGAAGAGGCTCTTCTGCTACAGGTAACAACTCTTATAGTAATTCAGTGGGTTTTGGGTCTAATAAACATCTTGTTGGTTTAGATGCAATGATACGTTTATTTAGCTCCTCCTGTCCTATAGTTGTAAAGCACTGCAATTGTTCTCGAGGGACATTACTTAAGGCTGAATTTTAAAACACTGTCAATGGTTGTACATTTACAACTGAATTTCAGATGCTTTCGATTTTCTCAGTGAATAAATTCATAAAGTCATACTAGTAAACTGTGATGGAATATTCAGTTCAGGTGCCGTCCGTTTATTTGTTATTCTAGCCACTGTACTAAATAAAAAAACTTCGATTGTTTTGGTTATTTTCGGAGTTTGCAGAGATGCTCTGCCCTGGTTAGAGCTTTTATAGCAGGACATACTGTCTGTTTGTTCTAGGTTACGAGTTTCTCTCTTGAGAGCGTGAGTAATACTGTTGTACCATGGTGCAGGACTTTTCTCTTTAACCTTTTTTAATCTGATGGGTGCAATAGTTTCTAATGTACTAGATAAGATAGCGTTACTGTTTTACTGTATTTTTGATCACATAAATTTAGACTTGGGAAGCAAAAGAAGCTTCTTTCAAAAACGTTAAAAAAAATTATATTGACCCAAAACTTTTGAACGATAATGTGCATTTCACCAAAAATTTAAGAAAATATCTGCTTGATCATTTCAGTAACCATAATAGGGCTGAAAGTTGTCCTTTATGAAAGCAGTCAACACTGCAATTTACAATTTAGTTTTATGTTAGATAATAGTTTAAAAGTGGTGTGCCATATTTATGAAATGGGACAAAAATAAAATGTATCCCACATTTCGGTTGAAAGGAGAAGCAAGCTAGATTCACTTTGTTTCCCCATAACTATTCCCTCAATCCTGTCTGTTTTTGCAGAAAAAGTATCGTGATTTCCGACTACAAGGTGTATTGGACTCTACTCTGAACAGCAAGATGTATGAGACGGTGAGAAACAGGCTGATTCTAGAAGAGGCTACAGCGTCTGTAAGAGAGGGAGGGATGCAAGGCATATCCATGAAGGACAGCGATGAGGAAGATGACTAGATCCTGCTGGAAACAATTAGGTGTGGACAATTCGGCCTAAAATGATGCATGTACACCACTGTCCATCACCCGTACATGTCCGGATGTTGTTAACGTCATGGTCTATGACAGACAAGGGACCATCTTCAATCAAATAAAAATACAAATATATGAATCTCTATTCAGATGACAAAAATAAAAGCGTATATTAACCTAAACATAAAATTAATTGAGGGTTTTTGGGGGGAAAGATAAGCAAAAATGTCTGAAAATCATACCTAAATGTTTCTAAGCAATATGGAGTACCATTTGTAAACAATGTTGTGTGAGATGGTAAGGAATAATGCTCGTCGTGTCCCTGTTCAATGCAAATCCATATGGCGCTTCTTAAACGTATTGTAAATACATTCATGTTATATAATTGTGCATAGACCTCTTACTTGTTTCTTTTGGAGTGTAGGCCAACTGACATGATTGTATTAACTTGTTCAGATGTTTGTATATTCAGCTCACTTTAACAACAAACCACAATGTGTTTTACACCCAAAATGTTTTGAGACCTTTTTTTATTGAGTTGGTTATGGTGATTTGTATGTAGCTGTATTTTAGAGATGCAATA